AAGAAACAGATTTACTGTGGATTAGAGAAGAGCCACCGTTACATGTATGTAGGTGGTGAGCGTAGATTGGTGGATAACTTTTAATACTGAGCGGGTGTGTCCAAAGTCAAAGCTCTCAAACCGTTTGCAGACCTAGCCAAAAAAAAAATCTTGCGCTTAGCACCTTTGCATCCAGTTTGCGACTGTTTTGAATCGCCCGAACGAGCAGTCCTTCTTGAGAGAGAGAAAGAAAGAAAGAAAGAAAGAAAGAAAGAAAGAAAGAAAGAAAAAAGCTCGGCACACGGGCCAGCCCAGTGTATTGTACGGCGGTTTGTAGCCCCGTGCACTGACGCGCTTTATTTCTTTCTTGAGGCTCAGAATTTGTTAAGGCTGCGTTGTCTCCTGGGATAGACATCAACTCTAGGGCTTGTCTGGACTAGCTAGCCACTGGGCTGAAGCTGTTGCTTTCAGAGGTGCGCAACGACGAGATAACACATTCCACCTCGACAGCTTTTCGGGTCAATATTTTACTTGTCAAACTCGTTTGCCGAGTCGTGCGTTTATCATGATTGAGACAGGGGCCGACCATGCGGCGGCCGGCACTAGCTTACCAGGTAAGATTTATTTCTGCCAGTCTCAGAATCTTATTAGCTGCCTTTTTAAGCCTCCTCGCCACACATCTTTCTTGACCCCCCTCCCTCACCTCGCTCACTACTTGGCTGGCCGTCTCGGCCGGAATCAAGTCCCTTGCGCTTGACGGACCAACGCCTCAGATGCGACTCTATGCCATCGCTCAAACAGTTACCGTCCTGGCTGAGAGCATTCTGCTACATACCTAGGTACCTTGCTACCCTGCCTGCGTGCATACCTACTGAATAAGTACATAGGTGCTAGTACCGCGACGAGAAGGTACCTAGGCACTACCTATGTATGTACATAGGTACCTATGTACCAAACGGGGCAGGCAGCAGAGTTGCTCGCTGCCTTCGTTGCTTGTTGGGCAATTTAGCCTGCAAAACTACCTACCTTGCCTACCTGTGTACGTCGACATGTGCCTACTGTGGTGCAGCCCACCCCCGCAAGAGATGATCCAGGCCCAGACTACCCAGATCGGCCGTTGTGGTCCCCACTGGCTCCTGATGGTATGGTGCGCCCACAGTCATGCATTCTGGTTCTGACTGCTGGCAATCTGGCAGGCGAGCTGCCTTCCTTTACCCTTGCCTGTTGCGGCTGGGCTTACTCGGCGCGAATGTTGACACTAATGGAACGTGGGGAAGCAAAGTCAAAGAAGAAACTTGAAGAAATTTCTTCGTCTTTGCGCCGCGTCTTTCATTACCAAAAGCTCTTTCACCATCTCTTTCACCACCTCTTTTCACGTGTGTCTGATTCCTCGAGGGCTGTGGGTTGAGGACGGAACAGGCCTGACGTATTTGGATAGCTTGCCACCACCAGACGAGCCTCCCACAAGACCTCGCACCGTTTCAAGCCACACGGCCCTCACCCCGCGTCTTTTGAACTGGGCGTCTGCACCTCTTGTCATAACAAACAGCCTTATGACTTGTTTGGTCATTTCTACCTCCTCTCGCCCATTACAGTAGGTAGTACCTACACTCGGTACCGTCTGTGCTGCTTCCATCGTGTACCTTGCCTTGGCCCCATCCTATCCCATCCATCCCCCGCCGTGGTAGGTTCCGTCTGCATCTCATTGCTCCACTCCATCACAAACAGCCAGCCAGCCTTAACAGCTCACGATACATCGAGTGTCACCTTGCCTACCTTCCCCTCACCAGCCATCTTGTCCTCTTCCAATTCATGTTTTCATGCCCAAATCCCCTCCTTACCATTAACTCGCCGCATCCGCCACTCCCATTTTGCTTCCTCTTCACTTTGGCCTCACAGTCAATTCCTTCCTGCCATTGCCATCTCACTCCGCCATCGGCACCCCCGATGGTCATGCCTTAGCTCACGCGAGTCAAGGTGGCAAATCTTCACAAACCTTCTCGACAATAGAGAACAGGTCGTTTCAACCTTCGAAACAAATTGTTTTATGCATGTACTGTCCCTCTCATATAAGCACAATATTTTCAGAAACTCCCCGCGCTCGCCATCACCAAGCAATTGATTTCCTTTCACCCACCTTTCAAACTATATTCCATGCTTCATCATTTCCTCTCTAGTCAATCTGCTGACATCCCCCCCCCTCCACAGTCGCCGTGGCTGACCCTGCATCATCGTCAAACCCAACTGCTGATCTTGCCAACTCTTCTTCAACGCCAGCGACCGCCGCCAACGACGACAACGCCATGATCTTCTCGGACTTTTACAAGGGCTCACGCTCGCCGCTCGCTAGGCTGCGTAACAGCAACCCGCAACTGTCCACAAAGCTCCCTACAGCCTCACCTGACTGGGTCGGCGACGACTATGCCGACTTACTTAGCAAGGATAAGGTCAAGAACAAGGAGGCCATACGCCGCTACCTTGCCGACAAGGTGCGCTACGATTGGGTCTTTGACTGGCCTGGCCAGCATGTCCCTGACTCGCTGGCCAAGCCTCTCCGCGAAGAAGATAGTCAACCCGCCTATCTTGAAGCGGTCAACGCAGACAAGGCAGTGACCGAGACTGCTACCAGCCCCGATGCTACCGACAATGGCTACCAAGTTCAGGACTCCGACCTCGACTCTGACGATGAGTCCGTGTATAGCGTCGTCTCCGCAGACAATTTACACTGGCGGCCCCGCGCTGAGTGGACGTCCGACATCGACGAAGGAGACGAGAGCTCGTCTTTCGACGACTCGCAATCCTCGCTGCAGCTCGCTTCCATCGCTCGCCAAGCAAAACGTCGTCGCGCCATCCGCGAAGAGGCATCTTGGAACACAGGGCTTGCCTGCTTCGAAGCTCGACGCAATGCTTGGACTGGCGCAAAAACGGTGCGCGTGCGCGCCAAGCCCGTTACCACCGCGTCTGTCCAACCCATTTCGCCACGTTCCCCCCGCCGCTTCTTTTTCCGCCGCAGCATGTCAAGCTCGCCGCCCGCCGCAGCTGCCGCCTTAGCAGCGGCACATGCTGCAGCTGTCGATCTCTCCGGCACCGCCTCTGACTCTTCGTCCATCCCGCATGATGAGCTGCGGAAGGAAGAATCTCAAGTCGACGGCAGCGCTGCCAATACACCTATCACCTCCACCTCCACCGAAAATACGCGCAACTACCCCGTCGAGACGCTCCTTCCGCTCGTCCAGCCAATCCTGCCGCCAAACAACCCATTGCGCGCCTCCATCACTCCCAATGTCTACATCGGCCTCTACGATAAAGTAATCTTGCATAATCTCCAGCCTTCGTGCCCGATCAACCTCGCCGATATGTTGCGCTCTTGCGTCACAGGCTGGAAACGCGATGGCGAGTGGCCCCCGCGTTCCACGCCGTACAGCCCACCGGCGGCGAAGAAGAAGAGTCCGAGGCCTGGAAAGTCAACTGCTCTGCCAGCGTCTGTTTCACAGCCTACAGGAACTGAGGCGAAGTCTAGCCGTAGGCTGAGCTTTAACCTCATGAATCGTGACAACGACGAGTCCCGCGCAAGCAAAGGCTTTCGCAGGAGTTTGCAGCGCGCTCTCGGCATGGGGCCTATTCCCGGTCTCGGCGAAATCGCTTGAACTGAAATGCAATATCAATGAGCACAATGTATTGGGGATCACGGAGCTGTGGAGGAATCATGCCTTTTTATACCCCTTTTCTACCTTTCTTGCTATATCTGCCGTCATGCCAATGGAGTGTCATATTTCGAAGGTTCAATTGGGCATGGAAAGCTAGGCTGCTTTCTAGGAGTTCTCTTCTATTTGATGCACTTACTCCCAATCGTTTGAATCTTGGAATGGGGTTGAATTTCGCCTAGCCTTCTTGCATATACCCATAGCCAAATGAAATCCCGATTGTCTCGATTATGTATGCCCAGTATGCTTTTGCCGTCTAGCATCATATCAACTGTTGAGAACATGCGCAGACACCCAACCGGCAACTTGTAATTGCGTCTGGTTGAAATGGAAGTTCCATGAAAATTAACCAACATTCGACTGACTCTAAGTTCATCGAGATTCAGCATCGTCTGCAAACAATTTTTCATCCGCTCTCTGCACCAAACCTTCCATTACAGCCACCAGGTCTCCCAACAGCTCCTTGGCGTAACCTCCCCAGCTCTCAAAAGTCACAATCTCCAGCGTCATTTTGTTGCCACCCTCGGCAACAAATGCTTGTATCTTCCACTCGCGTAGCGGCTCCTCGTGAACATACAGCGTCTCATATCTATTTCCGGCCTCTTCTTCCGTCTTCTCACGCGACGCCACGTGCGACACATCTTGATGCACTACCGTATCGAACCACCACTGCTCCAGCCCCTCTTCCCCCGTCATACTCTTTTGCTTTTCCCACCCTGGGCTACACAAGTCGGCAATCTCCTCCAGACTGATGCCTTCATGCCCTGCGCTTTCGATATGCTGCTGTTGCACGAACGCGAGTAAATCAGCACCTGTCCAGGACGCGTCCATGCGCACCCGCAGTGGCACGTACTGCCAGCACGGCCCGGCCACGGCGTCTGCACCAGCAATGCCAATGCTACGACCGCTGACGACTTCGCCAAACACGACATCCCGCAGGCCTTGGCGACGCGCGAGGCACAGCGCCCATGCGGCGGTGGGTAGCGATGCCACAGTGACTTCGCGATTCCGCATGGAGATGTCTAGGCTTTGCTCAATGGCGAAGTGTCTGCGATTAATGAGGGGTATATCTGGCCGGAGGGTGGTTATGGTAGAGTCGGCGAGAAGTTCCCTCCAATAAGGAATACTGGCGGGGATGGCATGCTTCAGCACGCGGGAGACGTATGCGGAGAAGGGTAGCGAAGGCTCCGGAGCCTTCTCGTGGGTGTAGAGAGCGGAGAGCTGGCGAAGCAGGATCGGGAGGCACATCTCATCGTATTGTGCGTGGGAAATGCGGAAGACGAGACAGCTGCACGACGCCGGGCTCTGGGGATCGTACACGTAAAGCCATTTGACGAAGCTCGAGCCGAGCGGCATGGGCTTCTCAACATCAGCGCGGCAAATGTCTTTGGTAAATGATGATAGAGTTTCGGCTGGATTGGTGTATGCGTACTCTTCAAATGGCGCGACGAGAGAGTCAAGAACGGCAGCGTATCCTCGTCCCGCGCTCTCAACGAACACTGTCCGGAGAATCTCGTTGTGCGCAATGAGGTCTTGGCAGCTTCGACGCAAACGAGGCAAGTCGACTTCTTCCTCGAAGAAGATGAGCTCATAGCGTGCGGAGAATCGAGGCTTTTTCGTCGTTCCCCGAACGGCAATCTGCTGTAAGAATCGTGTTGGGAGCACATTGGCGACCGTCCACGACTTATCCTCGAGCTGCGGGCTAACCACGTCGGTAACAAAAGCGCTCTTGTCACCAATGTCATCAAGAAGGGCGAATGGCTCAACAACGAAGCCGGTAGACCCTTCTGCACTGCTCACCTCTTGTTCGCTGTATTCCATCACTGCGGCCATTTCTTCCAAAGTCTTGTTGCTGAACATCTGCGCAACGGTGAGGCGAATACCATCTGGCCGAGCCTCGGAGGCAAGCTTCATGGCCGAAATTGAATCACCGCCGAGCAGGAAGAAGTTGTCCTCCAGTCCAATCTCCGTCTCTGGAATACGCAGCACGCGGCTCCATAGCGCTCGAAGTCCTCGCTGGCGCTGAGATGTTGCAGACACCCTAGGCTTCTTATCGGTAGGTTCACCCGCAACACCTATGGCAGCCTTGTCCCCGATAATGTGTATCATGCCCGCGGCGTCATACTTGGCTAGTTTTCCGGTCAGATACAACTCATCCGTGGATATGGACAGGCCAAGCTCCGCTAGCCATTGTGGACGAGCTAGTGGCTGGAGCTCTGCTGGCTTGGATGTTTGTATGGCTAGTTCACCGATGGCACCAACGGGGATAACTCTGCTAGGATCATCAGACCGAACAATGTACGCAGCTGATGCGCCCTCGTAAACATTCATCGTGGGGTCCTCGTGCGTGGTTGCGATTGCACCGCGGAGTGCTGCAGTGTCGGCGTCAGACAAAGGGTTGATGTCGGCAATTATTGAGGTCGTGCTCTGAGCAAGCTGCTGCGAGACGTGTTTGAACTGAGTCAAGACTTGCTGCATCGTGACTTTATCAACTGTCCTGGAGTCGAAGCTTGCCATGACCAGGAATCCCTTAGGGTCGATGGAGCACACCAACATGAGAGCATATGTGTTGAACTTGAGGGCCTCCTGGGCGGCTTCAGCATCACCGGCAGGAACTAGACAGTTTGCAGGTAGGGATGTATCCAGAGTTGATGCATCTGCATCTGTGCTTGGGTGCAGCACAAGACCAGTTCGAAGTTCACAGGCTTCTCGGGCATCAGGGCTCAATCGTCGAATATGCTGCAGACCAAAATGCTCGTGAGAGATTTGGTCGATGGTCTGTTCCTGGATGGACTGCAAGAATTCTCCAACCTGTGCTTTGCGATCAATTTGCACACGAACTGGTACAGTAGTGATCATCGGTCCCTCAATTTCCTCAGCGCCCAATACCGGCGCATTTCGTCCTGTTAGTGTCTCGCCAAAGACAACGTCGGAGCTGTTGATGTACTGCGATGCCACAATTGCCCATGCGCCCCGTATGACGGTGGCCAGGGTAGCATTGGACTTGGGCAAGCCTTCCAGCGAGACGTATTCTTCCAGCAGCTCGTTTGCCTGGGTCTGGTACCCTTCATGAGGAAGTGTCGGGAACTGCAAGCGATAAGTGTCCTGCAGTTGATCCCTCCAATATTCCTCGGACTCCGCGCCGTCCTTTTCCAAGAGGTACTTGATGAAGTGCTTGAACTCTGCAGGCCGCGACATAGCTTGGCCCTGATAAGCTTGGTTAATGCGCTCTACAATGAGAGGCATCGCCCAGCCGTCATATAAGGCATGGTGCATTGTCAAGACGAAGGAAACAGTATTGGAATCGATATCGTTGATGATGGCCCATCGGATCAGAGGGCTGCCAAGATCCATTGCTGTATCCCGATCGGAAACCAGGTAGTCGGCAACATTGGTGCCAGTAAAGTACTGGAATTTATCGTTGACGACAACCTGAACAAGTCCATGACCAGGGACCTGCACAATTCGTGTCCGCAAAATCGGACTTCCTTGTGACGCTGCGTCAAATGCTGCGATGAGTTTCAAGGCAGTTTCGTCATCTTTCAACACAACAACTCTCTGAGCAACATATGCTTCTTTCACCTTACTAGAGAGTGCCATAAGTGCTTCCTGGAGTGGCGTGCAAGGGTAGATATCCTCCACTAGGCCCGGCTCGATACCACACAGCAAGGCAACCTCCTTCCGGGCGGTCTCTTCACCCCAAGATTCAGGAAGGAGTGAGAACGGCTTAATATCCGCTAGGGTTTTTGATGACATATCCGTGGTCTTGCTTGCCATGAGAGACAGTGTCGGACTACCGAAGATGTCGGCTACTGTCAATGCCAGGCCTTCTTCTCGTGCCGCCGCAACCAGCTTCATAGCGCGAAGCGAGTCACCTCCAAGACCGAAGAAGTTACTGGCCTTGCACACAGCGCTTTGCAACCCCAAAACACGAATCCAAGCTTGCGCCAGCTTCTTCTCGGCCAATGTGCTGGGCTCCTCTTGTGGTCCTTGGTCGGCGTGCGTCATGCTGAGCTTGGATCGAGGCATCGCGGAGCCAATTTCACGAAGCTTTTTCCTGTCTGTCTTACCAGAGACCATTGAAGGCATTGATGCAAGGGTGATAAAGGCAGCAGGCACCATATATCGCGGTACCTTAGCCCCAAGCGCCTCGTCAATGACGTCCAGAGCTGCCGATAGTTCTGGCGAGGGATCAACGAAAATTGTGTCAACTTCAGAATTCACCAGCGAAGTTTCGACCAGGAATGCCACCAAAGTTGGTGATCCATTCTCTGGCTTAATGACCTCGGCGGCGACTTTGACGCCGCCGGGCAGGCAGGTCTGAAGGTGATGCTCTACCTCCGCTAGTTCGACGCGCTGTCCACGGAGCTTGACCTGCTGATCCTTGCGGCCTACAAACTCGATGGATCCAGATAGATTCGACTCGTATCTGACCAAATCACCCGTCTTGTACAGTCTTCCATGTCGGCCGGGACAAGAAGCGTGGCCTGCTGTGAGCCAGGCAGGATCTTCAATGAATACCTCGGCAGTCTTGGCTGGTTCTCCTAAGTAGCCAATTCCAACAACAGGGCCCTCGATAAGCAGCTCACCGACTTCGCCAATGGGGACAAGAATGTTGTGGTCTTCCGGATTGACCAACCATGTCGTACCTCCGAACCCCTTTCCAATCCCCGTGGATAAACCGAGGTTGTTATTGATTGTGCAGCCGACCGTGCACTCCGAAGGACCGTAAGCAATGACTAAACTGGTAGATTTCCTCCAGACTGCGGCATCACTGGGAGACACCGCTTCTCCACCGAGACCGAGCACATCGAGCGATGGGATGATGTCGGGGTCCAGAACCCGGGCAACGGAGGGTGTCATATGCACCATGTTTGCCTTGCTATCTCGAATAGAGCCGCTCAGATCATTCATACGGCCTTGCTCGGACGGGACGCAGATCTGACCGCCACAAGCCAACGTACAAAGCATGCAATCAATGCTGACGTCGAAGGCGTAGGATGGGAAATCGAAGACGCGCGAGGTCGACTTATAGCCAACTGCTTCTGCTCGGGGAATCGCACCACTAGTGTAATTTTCGTGCGATATCGACACACCTTTAGGCTTGCCGGTGCTGCCCGAGGTGAAAATAACGTACAAAAGAGAGGATGATGGTACGGCGGGAAGAGGCTCAGAAGACAGCTGCAAATGGTCGTCAAATGTGGACTGGGAGACAGAAACGACGGTCCCTGCAGCGGCAATTTTCGCTCCTAAAGAGCTTTGCAACGCCGATGTAATTATCAGGTTTGCGCCTGTCTGCTCGACAATTGTTTGGAGACGAGCCTCAGGCTGGCTGGGATCTGTTAATGAGAAAGCCGCGCCCGCTTTCATAACAGCTAGGAGTGCAACCACAGCCCACATGGACTTTTCAAAGCATAGCGGTACCGTGACCCCAGTGCCAACTCCCAGAAAGCGCAGATGAAGCGCCAGACGGTTCGAAAGTTGGTCAAGATTCGAATATGTCAAGGAGCCGTCCCACGACTGGACAGCCACATCTTGCGGTCTCTGGCTTGTCTGCTCGGATATGATGTCATGCATGCATCGCTGAATGTTTTCTGGGACGACTGCATTCCAACGCCAGAGTTGGTCGAGGTCTCGTTCTGAGACGCCTGGCTGCTGCGGGGATCCTTGCTGAGATCTGGTTTCGGTGTCGCCATTTGTTCGACTGTCGAGATTCGTGTCAACTGTGTGGGATGCTGTCTTCTGCGAGCTGCTCCCGAAGGAAACGTCGACAGCGCGGGTCCCTCCGCCTCCATGGTCATCGATGCTGCGCATTACGAATGGTGTGAGAAGAGTATCCAAGACGAAGAGGTGTGATGTGCCATTTATTGGCCAGCTACAGTGAGCGTCGCAGCGGCAAGGTCGGTTGGGCAAGCCTTTTACGGTTGTAATTGGGTTGCAATGACGTTGAAGTACAAAAGCATGCATGCATCCATGCAGCTAGATATGTATGTGAGGATATACTGCGCGTTTCAGTTGGACAATATGGAAATGGTATAGTGCGGCTGGTCATGAGTTGGAGTCAAGGCAGCAAACTACTGCAAGTACCGGCTAATAGAGCTCCATTTAGATGCGTGTTCGGTATTACTGCTGGATATCGAGCGGGAATCCCCGAAGGTCGTCCGACGGTGGGTAACCACCAGCGGTTTACTGCTTTTTGCGTATCCTTCAGAGCGGCATTGGGGGCGGCCACTCAACTTGAACCGTGAAGAGAAGAGCGAAGCAAAGCGTGTACAAGCGTGTCAAGTTGTGTCCACAGGGTCAAGCTGATGGAGAAGCGGCGGGGTTGTTGGCGTGAGGTTGATCAAGACATGGGCAAACAGGCAACTCAAGCCTATTTGTTCTAGCAGACAGGTGCTTTGTAAAGGATCGTATGGCGCGAAGTGGGATGAGGGGTTGAGGGGTGTGAGAAGTTTGGGTAGTTGGCAGTGAGGGGTGAGAGCTGGGGCTGATGGTCGAGGGAGGGTACAAGATGGGGCCAGAAGGTACAAGGCGAGGTACAAGACCCAAAGAGGCATGTACTTGCGGATCTGATAAGGATCCAGTGAGAGCGCACAGTTCTTCTCTAATCCACCAGAGCAGCTACCAGTCCCTAACTACCTAGTTAGTTAGCGGGCCACAGCTAGGTGCTAACTACCTGTATTAGTAGTTCGACCCAATTGTGCATGCACATGTCAACTGTCGTTGGACCTGGAACCCTGTAACTCTCGCCAGTGGTGGAATTCCTTGTCACTGGTAGGTCGCCGCGGAAGATTCTGCCGAGAAGCTGTTCCCGGCTACTGTTGCTCTGTAGGAACAAAATGTACGGAAAGGGACAACATACCAAGTTTACGGGCATGGTAATGAAACAAGAATGGCTATGGCGTCAGCGTCGCCGTCTCTCTCGCCACAAACTTGGGAAACAGAAATTCCGGATCGGGTTGCCACCGAACCCCCCATCCGCGCCACCCATCCATCTATCTGATCAATCTCGGGCAAAGGGATATGGTCGAGTTTTTGTTTTTTACTGTAATGCTGTCCGAGCTGGAGCCTCAGGGCCGCTCTCCACTGCGGACATGAAGAAACTAGGATGTTGGACTGAGGATTGGAGGAGCCCCGACCCCCCTGCAAGGCGAAAGCCAAAGCGTTTCTTTTGATTCACTGTGCCTTGCAGGACAGATTCTGGCAAGCATGGCAGCATACCATCGCCCCAACCATGCTACGCACAGAACTGTTCAAAGTGAAAAAAAAAAAAAATACAGGGAAAAGATGAGTGCTCGTTCGTATTTCAAACGCTTCTCAGGGGGCAATTCACTGGCAGGTACGAATTACTAACTAGCGACACGGAATTAGCGCAGTTTTCCATCAGGTATGTAGGCCCAGTCGATTCCTCTACGCCATTGCGCCAAGTTCTAGATGCGTTATTTTTGTACTCTTTCTTTCTTCAAACAAAGTACTTGGCGTGGTCTGAATACCGGCCTTGAAGAGACACATGAACATGTACCGATACCGTTGTATCCACCGTCACGTCTTGCTGCTGCCCACCGCTAATGGTTGGTACCGCTTTGTCCACGCCCCCTTGTTGCTGATTTGCCTACGCTAGCCCATCTTATCTGATGATCTGATTAGATGAAATTTTCAACGAGCTGGCTGGACTGGGCCTACCGGGCCAAATACCGCCGACGGGCCTCGGACTTCCGCTAGCTGTACTAGTACTGTGGGACATTTATGTTATGCAGGCTCTACCAAACCAACTAGTAAAATAGTTAGAGTTCATTGCTCATATTCCGCGGTTCGCGTCGTTTTGATGTGGTCCCTGGCAGTCTACCAGGCCCTTGACGGACCACGCACCCACATGGACAGCACGGTACTTGGCATCCTTCGCGCATAGACTAACTTCTCCTGTAAAACCAGCATCCGGTGCTTTTCGCCGAGGGCTGGTCAATTCAGCTCCTCGTTGCGTAGCATTACTGCTAAGTTAATACCAGTGACCGCCCAACCATACAGTAGCGCTCTCGTCACTGGTGCTTGCAGCTTGTCTTGTAAACTGTGCGCGCCAGGAGCTGCAATTCTCGTCATAATTACAAAAAATATGTCTTCCGTTCCGACAAAGACAATTCGGCCAGAGGTGCCTCCCGAGACAGAGAAGCTCTCGCTACTCCATGGCCCGCTCGACCCTCCTCTGGTTGACCTGACACTCGGTGAACTGCTCGAACTACAGACCTATCAACACGGCACACGCGAATGTCTCGTTATTCCATGGACGGGGGCGCGATGGACATACAATGAGTTGAACCAGCAGTCCTCCTGGCTGGCGCAGTCACTTCTTGACTTCGGAATCGGTGTCGGCGACCGCGTGGGCATCATGGCTGGCAACTGCGAGCAGTACGCGGCCGTGTTCTTCGCCGCCGCCAAGATCGGAGCAATCCTAGTCATTCTCAACAACACTTATACGCCTACCGAAGCAATGTACGGTATTCAATTCTCCGAATGCAAGATCGTCTTTACCACGCGCACCATTGGCCGCATGGATAACTCGCGCCTGCTAGGTGATCTGGACAACTTGGACCGCGGCCCAAAGGTCGTCATGCTGCGAGGTGACGCCAGCAACTATACTACGTACGACGAAATGATCAAGTCTGCTGCACGAAAAAGTCATGATAGGCTCTATGAGGCAATGAGACGCGTGAGCCCACATCAAGTTGTCAATCTGCAATTTACCAGTGGCACCACCGGCCTGCCCAAAGCCGCTATGCTGACACATCAGTATGTCTTCACCCCGTCTTACAGAAGACAATGCACCTGGCGAAACTAACTGTCTGATTCTAGCAACCTCGTCAACAACTCTCGTTTCATTGGCGACAGGATGCGCCTCACATCGGCCGACGTGCTCTGCTGCCCTCCACCGCTGTTCCATTGCTTTGGCCTTGTACTCGGTCTTCTGGCCATAATCACACACGGAGGCAAGATCGTCTATCCCGCCGAAGTTTTTGACATCTCTGCCACCCTGCGTGCCATCTCTGACGAGTCCTGTACCGCCGTCCACGGCGTGCCTGCCATGTTCGACTCACTTTTCCAAGCTGAGTTTCCGCCTGATTTCCGGTGCGACCGGCTCCGCACCGGCATCATTGCGGGAGCGCCCGTTCCCCGGTATCTCATGGAGCTTCTCGTTGAGAAGTTTGGCATGACCGAGTTCACCTCTAGCTACGGATTGACGGAAGCGAGCCCGACGTGCTTCAATGCCTTCACCGACGACAATATTGACACGCGTCTGACGACTGTGGGCACGCTCATGCCTCATGCTCATGCCAAAATCGTAGATCGTGACGGAAACATTGTGCCCGTTGGTGTGCGCGGCGAGCTGTGCATGGGTGGGTATCAGCTTCAGGCAGGGTACTGGAACAACTCGGCCAAGACTAACGAGGTCATGGTACGCGACTCAACTGGTGTATTGTGGCTTCACACTGGCGATGAGGCTGTTTTTAACGAGCATGGCTACTGCACCATCACGGGCCGCTTCAAGGACATCATCATTCGCGGTGGCGAAAACATCTATCCTCTCGAGATTGAAGAGCGTCTCATGGCGCATCCCTCCGTTTCTCGCGCTATCGTCGTCGGCTTGAAGAGTAAGCACTATGGCGAAGTGGTTGGCGCATTCCTTGAGCTCGTTGCCACAGCGGCCAAACCCTCGGATCAGGAGCTTCGAGACTGGGTGCGCAAACGTCTCGGTGGACACAAATCACCCGCGCATCTCTTCTGGCTTGGTGAAGGCAGTGTCCCTGCTTATGTGCCGCTGACTGGCAGTGGCAAGGTGAAAAAGTTCGAAATGGCCAAGGTGGGCGACGAGTTGCTCCGAAAACAGACGACTGTCGCCAAGTTATAAAATGGAATTTGGGTGCTGCTGCACCTGGATGAAAGACGATTCACTACCCAAGAGACGGACTTGGTTTTCGCGATTTTGTAGAAGTTTAGAAGATCGGACTTCAATATTTAGATATAGAAGAAAATACAAGAGAGCTTTCCATTTTGTGGCCGATAGTATTTCTGTTGATCTTGGTCTTGACCACCCGATAGATAGATCACTAACGTCTAGATACTGTCCTCCCCCCCCTACAGTTTCGGCACAAGACCAATCCTCATGCCACCAACAGCTTTCTCCTGCTCTCCCAACGGGCAGAGTTGGAAGAAGCGACCGCGAGGGCAGCGCACGAAGGCGCTGCGCTTGTGCGGCAAGTCCACAAACTTGTCAAGCCCAAAACCGTGAATGAGGTCGTACATGACGACGGTGGAATTGGAGTCCTTGGGCTCTCCAACCACCCACATGGTACGCGGATCATCAAGGAAGAGGTAGTGCATCAGACTACTCCACCATGCCGTAACACGATGAGGTCCCCGAAAGCGGATGTCGCCTACGAGAGAGTGACGACCACGATCAAAGTCTTCGGCGTCGTAGTAGCCTCCAAGGCGGTCCTCCTATGATAATGTCAGTTCCAACTGCAGCTTTCCATTGTCGACTTGCGAAGCACAAACCTTAGCCCAGTACACCTCGAAGTAGGCAAAGTAAGCATCATCCCACTTGGCCAACAAAGCAACTTGATGGGGATCTTCGTGAATGTTGCGTAGGTACTCGCGATGCTGCTCCAGCGTGCCCGTCTCGTTCCATCCCTGCGAAACACGTGGGTCGTTCTGCCACTCATGAAACAGTCGCAGGTGTTCAGAATCGGTATAATCGAGCGAAACCATGGAGAAAGTCTCTTTGAGGTGAGGAATCCAGCGACTGTAAATCACTGCACCCGGTGCAGGCTTGGCAGGTCGGATTGGGTGCCACGATTGTTGGTAGCGACCCGGGTCCTGGATGTCGCCAGCTGAGGCGACGCTGATAGTATGCTGCAGGGGCGTGAGGGGATACGATGAAAGAGGGTTCGAGGCTGGCAACGATGAGGGCGACTCTGCAGGGCACCAAATGGGACGAGGGCCGAATGGCGATCCAGCACCCTGCCAAAAGGTGCTGCGCAAAACAACAACAGTGCTGCTCGTCTCTGTATTGGCAATCTCGGGCGCAGCGTAGCCTTTGGCAGACTTTGGGTGCTCAATGCCGAGGAGGACATCCTGCAACTGCTTTGAAAGCACATCGGCGCCATTGCCACTGAGCTGCAGTCGAATCATTTCCATTCCGGGCCTCACGGTAAAGAAAACATAAAGAAGCAGCCAGGCCTGCGCTAGAGTAGGCGCACTACTCGTACCATCCCAGCTGACATTTGAGAACGGAGAGCGTCGAACGCGTGCCCAGGGACTGTTGTTGGCAGACGCAGGGAGCTCACTGGATTTGAGGTCGGTAGGCGCAGAGAAGCGCAGCCGGGACAAGTGCAGCTCGAATGGAAGTGGCTGGACCGAGGAGCCTTCCTTCAGAAGCAGCTGAAAGAGCTGGTCCTCGGTGCGCTTGACGGTGTACTCGGCGAGGTATGGGTGCGGCAGCTTGATGACGGTCTCGGTGGGCGCGAGGGTCGCGAGATCGATGATGCCCGTCATTGTGTTCTTGTGCGTCAATTCGCAGCAGAATCCAGAGTTTTGCAGGATTGGGGCAGGTCCGGGTGGCAAAGAAGAGGAGCAAGATGCAGAGATGCAGAGATCTGGGTAGCAATACTCAGCCGCTACTTTGAAGAAGAAGCCGACGGGACGCAGGCCATTCACGGGCCACTACAGATGACCTCATGTCTGCGGTAAACGTCTTTCCGATCCCTGGGTAGTTAGCAAGCTGGCCCTCTTCTGTTCGAGTGCCAGGATTGGCAAAAAGGCAAGTCCATGCCGACCGTTGGGGTGGGCAGACGCTGCGCTACCACCTGGGTGTTGGAGAACGGCCTGTCTCTACCTCCTAATTACACCCCTTTCTGTTTTTTGCCCCAGTCGCGGGACAAGAATCGCGGCGAGGCTAGTTCCTGATGCTGACAAGTACCTGTACTTTGGACAGGTCGCACTGGTACGTCGGCTGGCCCCCAAGGAAGGGGGGGATTTAGGCTTTGACACCATAGCTACCAAGCACTCGATGGCAATAACCAAACTTCTCAATGCAATTTCGCTACAGCTGCGAATTGCCCATCTTAGCAGCCTCTATGGTATGACTACTAGGAAGACTTCTCTGTGTGAGTCCTAACTAGTCTTCCGTGGAACTGCTTTGATGAAACCCCGATGCTCGGCCGAGGCGCGGCGGATCTGATAACTTTATTGGAGCAACCACCTGCCGAAGCCTTGCACCTATGTACATAAGTAGGGACAAGCAACCTACATGGTAACTAGCTAGTTACTCAGTATGTATATGCATACAACCTTATTGTTAATTTAGGTAGAGTTTCATTTTAGCCCAACGCCGAGTAGCTGTTATAACCTCCCTACGTATATATTCGTAGTAAGTGAACCTACACTACAGTACATGCCAATGTACACCAAGTACAACAGAACTTGTTCCCTGCTAGTTTCATTGGTGCGCTCCACTCCACCGACAGGGAAAGGCGTGATCTGATAGAGAAAATTTTTCCCGTTTCCAATGCTGCCCAGCGCTCCAGCCGCTGGCATTTGCGGTCCAGGCTCGCAACTTTCTTTCAGCTGTGGAGCTACAATGCCACTCGTGGATGGATGCATCGGCGAGTTACGGACACTGTGATTGCGGATCAGAGTGGATTGGCAGACTTGCCGTCAACTGGAGCTTTCGCTGAAGCTTTTTGGCCTGTTTCCCAGACTCATGGCTTGCCCAGCTCCCAGGCTTGCGTAACCTAAATCCACGATTCAAAGCACGGTGACGCATAACTGCAATGGTCGCATCATATCTCAGCATATTTCATAGTCTCTTCCTAAAGGATCTGTTGCGGAAGCTCGCATCTTCCAGGTCTCCTCATTCAAACGATGTGTTCCACGCGACGCCGTTTTGCACGCACGTTCCACCAATAGCCTCTCGCCGTCCTGGTTCGTGTTCGTCTACCTTCCACCAGCAATGTGGTGGTGTTCACGAGCGATGGGCGTATGTCGTACAATCTTAACAATAGAAACTCAGGCGAAAGCTGGGCCAAGTCCTCCAACGACATAACCCCGAAGGACCCCATTCACCACTGGGCATGGCCTTTCTTGCACGTCTCGGGTTGACTGCTCTCTTCATGTTCTCCTCTTCAATGGAACCAATCTCGTTTATCGCAGCTGCGAATCCTGCGCCGAAATTGACTTCTAGTTCTAATCGTCAGGCTGTGTCACTCTCACGAGGCTGGCCCATATTTCGAGTTCAGTTGGCGGTTTTGTATGTGTCAAGTTGTTCTGCTAGGGCTTAGAAAAGGGCCAAACCCTCCCGTCCCAGATCAAGTATTCTCTTACTGTAGTCTATCTGTGTCCTAATTCTCGTCCAGCTACTCCAGAACGCGCCGTCTTGCCATCAATCATCCATCGCGCGTTGGCCACCGCATCATTCTTAGGCTATTGCAACCCTAATAACAACACGACATTGGACGGAGGGCCTGGGCAGTCTTTCACTTCTCTTTATACTATTTATGAGAACGTTCATGTCAGAGAAGCCTCTCCAGTTCGCTGCCCCTGCGGCTAGCGAAGCTCCCGCCACAAAGGAGCCAAAGCACTCCGTCAATGATGTACCTTGCAGCGAGAATGGTGAAGACGGCGAGTCTCTGTCCAGCGAGGTGCAGAGCGGCGTGCCGGCCATGGAAGCCACAGCGAAAGTTTGAACGAAAACGACGCTGATGGTCTCTTGCATCTTTATCTGAGTCATCTACTTTGTCGATTCTATGCAGATGGGCACGATCGGCCTGCTCACGCCCTATGTCACGTCCAACTTTGCACGCCATTCGCTCACGCCTACAGTCGGTATCATGACCTCCATCATAGGCGGCATCTCCAAGCTCACGCTTGCCAAGATTCTCGACGTTTTTGGCCGACCTCAGGGCTATCTCATCAGCATCTTACCGCCACCAGCAACGTCGAAATGTTTGCCGCCGCACAAGTGTTCTACTGGGTGGGCATGAATAGCATCGCCTACGCGCTTAGTGTCGCGCCTGCAGACATGTCGTTGCTCAAGAACCTTGGCCTAGCCATCGCATTCTCTACGTCGCCATTCAGCATCACCACCTGGGTCAATGGGCGCATTGCGGAGAGTTTCTACAAGCTTTATCCCGATGGCACCCGTTCCGGCCCCGGTTTCCGCTGTGCTTTTGGTGCGTTTTCGATAATCACGCCGGCTGTTACGCTACCCTTTTTTGTTCTCTTCGTCTACAACCTGCGAAAGGCAATCAGACTCGGCGTCATTACCAAGACCAAGTCGAACCGTACCCTTGTGCAATCCTTCGTTCACTACGGCTGCGAGTTTGACATTGTCGGTCTCTTCCTCGACTCAGCTGGTCTCTCAATTTTCCTACTTCCGTTCAATATTTATTCCCTTCAAGCGCCAGAGTGACGTGCGCCAATCATTATCTGCTTTTTCATCTTTGGCGGGCTTTTGATCATTGGGTTTGCCGTCTGGGAGAAGTATCTTGCTCCAGTAAAATTTCTTCCCTACGAACTACTCGATCGTACGGTCCTTGGATCCTGTGTGCTTCTGGGCGTTTCCTTCATCAGCTTCTACATTTGGAGCAGTTTCTTTGGCTCATTTCTCCAAGTTGTCATGGATCTTGACCTCACCACGACAGGCTACATCACGCAAATGTTTAATGTTGGCTCCTACTTCTTTGCTCTCGTTATCGGTCTTGTCATCCGCCAAACCGGCAACTACAAGTGGCCTGTGCTGCTCTTCGGTCTGCCCATCACAGTCCTCGGAGTCCGGCACTATGATCAAGTTTCGTAACCCTGGTGTCAACATTGGCTGTATTGTCATGTCGCAGATCTTTGTTGCTTTTGGTGGCGGTACCAACTCGGTCTGTCAGCAGGTTGCCATCATGAGTGTTGTCAAGCACCAGCATATCGCCGTTGTTCTGGTTATCCAATCCATGGCCGCTAGCATCGGTGGCGGTATCGGCCGCTCCATCAGCAGTGCCATCTGGCAAGGTGTCTTCCCCGGTAAGCTGCGCGAATACCTGCCTGAGGCGGATCGCCAAAACTGGGCAAGGATATACGGCGACATTACCGTTCAACTGAGCTACCCCGTCGGATCGCCAAGTCGAGATGCGATTCAAACAGCATATGCAGACGGCCAGTGTGCTATGCTAATCGGTGCGACAGCTATTTATGCGATTGCTTTCATGGCTGTAGCATGTTGGCGCAACGTCAATGTCAAGAACATTAAGCAAGTCAAGGGTCTTTTTTTTTAATCTATTGTAGAATAGGGATTTTTTAAGAAGAGATACTCGGTTCCAAGGCATGTATGTGCTTGGTCTTTACGGTTTCATGCTTGTTTAATTTCCACGCACTGTGTACTCCTAAAGCACCCCTTTCACTCTAGGCTCGCATCTGAAGTCAAGAATCCACCAACGCCGCGACCGATTACGTCAAGGTCTTTATTCACAAGGAACTATATGCGAGAATTTATGCATCGACCACGGTCTCTTTCATTCCACCAAGCTGCATGTACTCCCAGCAAACTAAAATGTTAGTTGGTGGAGGAGTTCAAGGCTGTAGAGAATGAACTTACTGTCAAAGCCCAAGTCATTACGAAAGTACGCTTGCATAACATCTTCACCCGAAACCGTGCCGGCATCAGGGCTGGAAGCGACGGCCTTCTTGCCAACAGCAAGACCAATGACGGCCGGGAACTCGGTTAGCTCGCTGTACTTAACCTGATGGCCACCGGGAACACGGTCACGTAGAATAGTTTGGTGAATGTTGTGGGCGACGTAGTGACCGCCGTGCATGGCTCCGCCACAACGCTTGATTCCGCTCCATCTCGCAGCGTCGCCGGCGCAGAAATGATACTCGGCATTGGGGGTTCCCTCGACAATTGTGAGGCTTCAGACATAAGTCAAGTGAACCAATAACTCGCATGTTCCAAGAATACATACTTTGGATTGATCTTGACAAGGTTGTTTTCGTCAAGAGCTGTGGCGGGCATATAAGCAGTGGTCGAGGCAGGCTGCGAAACGGCCAAGATGACTTCGCTAGCTGCCATCTTGTGTCCATTTAGAAATTCAAGCTCGTATTTGATGCTACCGTCCATTGTCTCCACGCGGGTGGACTTGCTGAGGCGGTGATTCATGAGTACAGTTACACCGCTCTCTCGCAGCAGTTCGAGAGTGGTATCCTTGCACTCATCGGAGAGCGCCTCAGATGAGAGCAGCTTTTCGTGCGAATGCACGAGTGTAACATTGATCCGGGGATGAACGACCTTGAGCTCGGCGGCCATCTCAATACCGACAGCGCCGCCGCCGACAACGACAACGCCGTGCTGTGCATTGCTCACAGCGTGTATGTGCTCGGCGGCCTCGACCAGGTACTGCTTGCGGGATAGCGATTGTGGGACTACCGGCCACACGCGGCGGAGACCAGATGCCGCGACAAAGAAATCGTAGGTGTGCTCAGTCGCGATTTTTGTTACGGTATCGAGAGTCGTGACAGTCTTGGAGGCGCAGTCGACAGTAGTGACGGATCCGATGACGACTTTAATGTTGGGTTGCTGAAGACTGGGAATGTCCTGGAACTTGACCCAGGCCTTTTTGGTATACTTGGAGTCGGCGAGCGCAAGCGGGGAGCCAATAAGATGGTCTAATCTTATTAGGCCCTTCGACTTTAGTAAATGGGTCTCTTGCCGAGGACTCACAGAACCCGTCTCGCTCATCGGCGATGGTGATTTCAACGTCTATTTTCTCAAAGTTGGGCACATGGGTGTAGGCCTCGCCAGACATGCGAGGGCTGGCACCAGAAACCAGATCCAGCAGGTTCAGAGCAGTAGAGAGGCCGGCATAGCTACCGCCGGCAATAAAGACGCGCACTGGCGCAGAATTTTGCGAGAGGGAGGCCATTTCTTCCGAATGTCTCGATAATAGAGCTGCGGCGTGACGAGAGGATGCAAACAAACCGTACTGAAACGCCCAAGGGGAAACGGAGGAATTAACCGGCTGGCTTCGGTGTGGAGTGGAGAGTGTCTAGCGTTTGGTGGGGAAGACGTGGGAAGAGGAGAAGAAGTTGGTGCAACGAGGATACAGAACTGATGCAGGATATGTTCTAGGAGAGACGGTGAGGCTTCTTGCAGCTGACAGGAAGAAACTGGAACCGGTGGCAAGACTGTGGAATGAACAGGTAGTGCGGGGAACAGCTATGAGGAAAAGCGAAAGATTAGAGTCTCGACAAAGAATAGCCCCAATGTCATGTGTAATAATAAGGCGAGAGACTTGTCAATGGGCGCTGCGCAGGACATGCAGCCAAATACCTACTGTGTGGGATGCAATATCACAGTGTCTGCGTACATAAGTGCTAGAAGGTTGGAGGGGCATCGAGCATGCTGCAAGAATATTGCTCAGCGAATTGAATGCATGGATCGCAAATTGGCGGGAAAGGATGAATACATGCGAGCTTGGCAAGAGGGAGCCAACCCATCTCGTTTTGCTGGGATCAAGGCCCATCGTGACCGCCGGTTACGGGGGCCGCCCCTTATCTGATCCGTGTTGGCCGGCGCCAGCCTCGGATTAAGTTCTGTCGGGTGACCGAAGGCTCGGTACAGCATGCGCAACATTGATATGAAGGAGGGCGCCATGTACGTAATTCCGATCAGCGTCTCATTATTCCAGGCATTTGTTTGCTTTTATTAGCACAAGAAAAAACTTTTGTCGCGTTGCCTTGGCCGAGATGACCGACCCGCTGTCACAGAGAAAAGCTGATCAGATAAAACGGGGGCCTCAGCACTTGATGAAAAAAAAAAAGCCCAGTCCAATTTCCTGTGATGGCAATTTCTGTCAAGCATGCTCGCAGTCAGGAGGGGCCGGTGCATTGAGAGCGTACTTGCCAGAAGCAATCAAGGGGACTTTTTGGCGACAAGTCGGCGCGAAAAGATTCTGATAACCTGAGGAATGAGCCATTTTATGTTGTGATTTGTACAGGAGCGACTCTTAGCACGAAGCCAGAACCCACGTGCCGTTACTCCGTACTGGCCTAAAAATTATCTGATCCTTGATGCCCCACAGGACGGACAGTACATACAACATACATACTATGTACCTTACCACTATGTACCTTACCTAACAACTATGTAGGTAGTCTGTCACACAGTAAAGATATCATCCCAGCTCAAAACAGTGTCACTCACCCACTCCCTACAAATAGTTACACGAGAAGATGAATTAGCCGCTGAGTATGTGTTCATTATTAGCTCGCGGAGCCTCGAGTTGCCTTATCAATCAGTCAACAGCAGCTTAGCTTAGCCCTCCGCCGTGCACCTCCCTCCTCCCTCCCCACCCCTCCTCCCTAGCTACCTGGCCCATGATGCGGATGCCTCCATCTATGTATCATATCCACACACCCCTGTATTCATGTCCATCTTTTGCCTTTCCCCTCCAGCCTCGCCCTCTTCTTTCGTTTCGCTCGCTGCCCCCGCTCAAATGTACCGGTACTTGCTCACTCTCACTTCAACTCATTCGTTGAGCTGGCAGCTAAAATCCCTGCACCTTGAGAGTAGTTAGGCACTTCGGAGACATGTGGAAGGGGTGCGCATTTGGTGCTCAAGAAAAGAAACCTGACAGGCAGGTACTTGCTCAAGCACCCGAAGTACTTCTCTTGGTGATCCAGATACCTTAAGCTTCCTAGCTTCCTACATAGCTTCCCAGCAGGAGATTCGTAGGCCCAGCCAGTGTCTCTCATCCAAAGCCCGCAGCCGCCTACGAACTAGTTGACGTTGGCAAGCTCGGCACGGTACTGTGCCGTCTTGTCAAATTTCTCTCGGCTCCAGTTTCTCTCAAATCTTTTGGTAGAGAGTCGCCTCATCCGTACCTTTCTTTGCTTCTTTGCCCTTTGCCCTTTGCCCTTTGCCCTTTGCCCTTTGCCCACACCAGTGGATCAGACAGAACTCCTGGATTCCTAATATTGTCACCTTTCATTCGACAGGCTGAGCATTTGTGGAAGTTTGAGACGAGCCGGAACCAACTGTCATTTCCGTGTTGACTCATTAGTTGCTGCCATCTTTCGCCAAGCCTTCTTGATCGATTGTGGTGCAAGTGCTTGCTACTAGGAGCTGCCATCAGCGTGAGGTTCAAGATTGACCTTCATCTTCTTTCCAAAGAACACCGTTTCAACAGCCGTTGAATCATGACAGCAAGATTTTTCTGCATTTGACTTGTTCGAATTTCTATTAGACCGGCTCAGTCATGGCTGCCGACCCCAACAACATCACTGCGACGGATCTCCCGTTGCCCACGGCAGACCGCCAACGCAGCCAAGGCCAAGACACCGGAGACAGCAACCTCGCCACGCCGGCCCAAGACTACGACCGCGCGCCTGCTACCGATACGATAGTTTCCATACCGCTCCCAAAACTCAATGGGTCGTCTGCGAATCCAACTGAGCCTTCCGATTCCAAAGCTGGCCAAGACGAGCAAGCCACGGCATGTGGTGAGCCGATACCAACGAGAAAAGAGGCTGTATGCACTCTCAATTCTAGACAGTCAGGTGAAGGAAGGGTCTTCAGTTTCTAACATTGCGATACAGTTCTTCACATATTTTCAGCTTCTAGTCTACGCGAGCCCGACATGGAAAGACTATCTCCTCCTCATTGGCGGTCTCTTCATATCCGCTGCCGCTGGTGTCCCAATCCCCCTTATGGGAATCTTCTTCGGTCAGCTCGTCGACGATCTCAACCAAGGCACGTGCGATGCCAAAGACCGCGCCGACCTCCTCAAAGCGTCCCCCGATGAGCTGCAGCACTCTGTCAACGAAAAAGTTCTCAAGCTCCTCTACATTGGCATAGCCAGCTTCGCTCTCATTTACGCCTACCTCGTATGTTGGGCCATCTTCTCTCGTCGTCTCGAAGCCCGCATTCGTGACACCTACTTCCGCACCCTCCTACGCCAGGATGCCACTTTCTATGACAAGCGCCAGGCCGGCGAGCTGTCGTCTCGACTTAACGCAGACATGCAGACCATCCAGTCTGGCACATCGGAAAAGGTCGGCATCTGCATTGCCTGCATGTCGTTTTTTATTACGGCTTACGTCGTTGGATTTGTCAAGGATGCAAAGCTCGCCGGCATGCTCATCTCTCTCATCCCAGCCTTCCTCCTGCTCTCTGTGGTCGGCAGCTACTTCACGCAAAAGTTTACCATTGCCATGTCAAATGCCATCGCGTCAGCCTCCTCTGTTGCACAAGAGACTCTTTCTCATATTGCCATCGTACAGGCCTTCAACGCCGGCCCTCGGCTTGAGGTCAAGTTTGCCGCTGCCATGAACCTCGCTCGCAGCGAAGGCATCAACAAGGCTTTCGTGGCTGCCTTGCAGGCCGGCACGCTCTATCTCATTGCTTACTCCGCTAATGCGCTTGCATTTTGGCAGGGCAGTCGCCAGATTGCGGATGCCGTCGGATCCAAACATGGCACTAGTGTTGGAGACATCTACGTGGTCATCTTTTTGCTTGTGGATGCGTGTATCATTCTCGGATCTATCGCCCCGTATCTTCCAATGCTAGGCGCCGCCGCTGCGGCATTCCGCAAGGTTCGCCGAGATATCGAAGCTCCTGTTGCCATTGACTCTGGTTCTGACAAGGGCGAAAAACTCCCTGCCAATACTGCTGGCGGCATCAAGTTTGATGGTGTCACTTTTGCCTATGTATCCCGTCCCGACCGCCCTGTCCTCAGGAATGTTTCGTTCGAGTGCGCTCCTGGCAAGTACACGGCACTGGTAGGTCTCTCTGGCAGCGGTAAGTCTACTGTTGCTGGCCTGACTACACGTTTGTATGATCCTACCGAGGGTACTGTGACGCTCGACGGCCGCAACCTCCGGGACCTCAATGTTAGAAGCCTGCGGAGTTTAATGAGTCTTGTACAGCAAGAGCCTTCGCTCCTCAGTCGCTCCATTCTTGAAAACATTGCGCTGGGCGTGCTTAATTCACCTTGGGAACATCACCGCAAGTTCCAGGCCATCATCGACAGTCCTATATTGGCGCGGCTCGCAGCGAATATCCAGGAAAAGACTGACATGGACATGGCTGCGCATGAATTCGGTGCTGATGTGGTTGAGCTTGTTGGTATGGTTCGCGAAGCAGCCAAGCTCGCCGATGCCGCTTCCTTCATCGAAACACTTGAGCGCGGCTACGGTACGGATGTGGGCCTCAGTGGCAAGCTTGTCAGCGGTGGACAGAGACAACGGATTGCTCTAGCTCGTGCTCTTATACGCGATCCCAGAATATTAATTCTCGACGAAGCTACCTCAGCTCTGGATTCTGCTAGTGAGCGACGCATCCAAACGGCTGTCGAGTCCATTGCCAAGGATCGCACCCTAATCGCCATTGCACATCGGTTATCTACCATCAAGAATGCCGATAACATCATTGTCATGAGCAATGGAGTCATTCTCGAACAGGGTACGCACAGTGAGCTAATAGCTCTCAACGGGAATTATGCCACCATGGTCCGCCTCCAGAACATCGAAGCGGAGAGGCATGACGACAGTGCCTCGCTTGCGAGCACGGCCCGTGGCGATGTTGAAATTGACGTATCGGGCCATGACTCCATTACCCCTGAGGATGAGCCCGTCAAGGCTAATGATATCATTTCTGGTACCACGGGTCAAACCACACGAGTCGATGAAGATGCCGCTGCTGCCCAGACCGACCTGGATGCCAACAAGTCGACCGGCACGGTCATTCGCAGCATGTTCAAGCTCATCCGACCCAACCTTCTCTGGCTCGTCATTGCCATCTTTGCCGGCACAATCGTCGGCCTCACCTTTTCGGCTTCCGGTCTCATTTTCGGAAACACCATCGGCAACGTCAGTCCCTGCAATAGCACCGATCACATCAGGTGGGCGGGCCGATTCTTTGGTGGCCTCTTCTTCATGCTTGCGGTTGTTGAGCTGCTCGCCAATTCAACGAGTTGGTCTGGCTTTGGTTATGTTGCTGAGAAGCTTCTCTATCGCATTCGCGTGCTCACGTTCCGCTCTCTGTATCAGAAGGATATGGACTGGCACCAGGCCAGTGGCCGCACACCGGCATCTCTACTATCCGTCGTCACGGCCGACACCGCTGCTGTTGGCGGCTTCAGTGGCTCCATCATCGGCACCATGTTCTCCATCATAGTTAACTTTCTGGTCGCTATTATCATGTCGCACATTATTGCTTGGAAGATTGCTGTTGTCTGCCTCGTGACCGTGCCTCTACTACTTGGCTCCGGTGTCATGCAGGTGCGCTCACTGTCTCAATTCGAGCGTAAGCATGCCAGTGCATTTTCCTCGGCCATCGGTATCACTGTCGAGGCCATCAACTCCTTCAAGACGGTCTCGGCTCTTTCTATTGAGGATGAGATTCTCGGAACATACCGACGAGCCTTGTACGGGCCGCAAAAGGAAATCACGATGTTTAGTCTCTGGACCAATTTTTGGCTCGCCATGGCGAATAGCACTTGCAACCTCATTTATGCCTTTGCCTACTGGTGGGGTTCCACGCGAATTATCAAGGGCGAAAATACGCAGACACAATTCCTCATTATTTTGATGTCGATGCTTGTCAGCGCACAGCTCTGGGGTCAGATGTTTAGCCTTGCGCCTGAAATTTCGCGGGCTCGTGCTGCTGCGTCTCGTATCTTGAGCTTGATTGACCTCGATTCCGCAAAGTCGCTTGCCAGTGAGAAGGGAGTACCGGACGTCGAGGCTGATGCACACCCGCCGAGCAAGCCGTCAGGCCCGAACCAGGGCTCCACCATCACTTTTAAGGATGTGGCCTTTGCATATCCTTCTAGAACCAAAATTCAGATCTTGAAGGGCATGTCATTCACTATCAATGCGGGTCAGTTTTGCGGTCTTGTCGGGCCCTCTGGCGCCGGCAAGTCCACCATCATGTCACTCGTTCAACGCATGTACCGTCCTTCGGCCGGTGTGGTCGAGATTGACGGAGTAGATATCTGCGCCAAGGAGGGCACCGAGTTCCGTGACGACGTCGCCGTTGTACCTCAGGACTGCGCTCTATTTGAGGGCACTATCAAATTCAATGTCAGCCTGGGTGCGCGCCCCAGCAGCGAGCCGACCGACACCGAGATTGAGGAAGCATGCCGCCTTGCCAATATCCATGACACCATTGCGTCGTTGCCCGACGGCTATGACACTGAGTGTGGTCCCAACGGATCGCGCCTCTCTGGTGGTCAACGTCAGCGTCTAGCGATTGCTCGTGCACTGGTCCGCAAGCCGAAGCTTCTGCTCTTAGACGAGAGCACTAGCGCTCTCGATGCCGAGAGCGAGCGCGCGCTACAGGAGGGTCTGGAGAGGGCAGCTAAGGGCATCACAGTGATTGCCATCACGCATAGACTACATACAGTGCGCAAGGCCGACGTCATTTTTGTGATTGAGGGTGGCCAGCTTGTGGAAAAGGGTCGCCACGATGAGCTGGTGGAGAGAAGCGAATCATACAGGGTTAATGCGTTGTCACAAATGCTACCAACGTAAACATGCCTCTTTTTAGGCGTGGGTTGTATGGCCAACCCAGTCTTGTTTTTCTGTTCGTGTATGAAACACGCATCCGAGAGTTCATTAGACGCATTGTAATGCCAGTAAATGCTGAAGTTTTACTTGAACAACAAGTGGAGAAAACAGTAGATGAATTGATGATAAATTTCAAATATGGAGAGGAGAACAAGGCGCCTCTAAACGGGGATTAGGTTAATCTTAATCGATATGTTCGTAAGGGGTTCTTTGTCACAGGGCCGGTGCAGTGATTGCCTGCCATCTAGCCGTGGTTAGTAAAGGCATCATGCTATGATCAGTGAAGGAAGGGTAGGCTTGAGCTAAATTACAGTTTTGCGTTGCCAGTTGCTCGGGCTGATGTCGATCAGAATTCAATAAACCTGCCTCTAGCCCATCAGACTTGGCTACCTATGTACAGAGCTATGGTTTCATGTCATGTTCATGCTCTAATCTGTGCTGTTGTCATGCTCTAATCTGTGCCCTGGGCGGTTGCTTGCTTACCATTTTGGGTACCAGCACGCCTAAGGTGCCTACAAAGGCAGCCTAAAGTAGTGCATAGGTACATAGGTAGGCAAGTACGGTACTCCGTATGAGGTATGTATCTACATGTAGGTAGCATGCAGTTGGCCCCTGCTGTGTCATGCAGGTTGAGGCAGTTATCTTGGTATCGGTGTATCAGTGTGACCATACCTGACATTAGCAACATTGGATCGGAAGCGGTTACCTGTACAGTAGCCAGAAGCGACAACAGCACTGACCTTGAGCCCAGGGCGACGACAGGTACATTCGTGGTGAGAGGTACTAAGGTACCCCTCAGCCCCCAAAATGCAGCGCTTCTTACTGGCCACCTATGTATGTATGTACCCGCAGCCAGCGCTATAAAACCCAATTCTACCAACCGCTCGCTCACCAAGACTCTGGCCAGAATGAGTGCCACTAAACTCTCTTTATTCCAGCCCTCGATGTCGTGACGCTTTTTCTCCCCTTCCAACCCCAACACAAGGCGCAACCATTCAGGGCCCGTCTTCTCCAGAGCGTCCCTCCTCCGTCTCTCGCACCGTCGCGGCCGGCCCTTCACCATCACCCTGCAGCCACGTAGCTGGACAAAGCTCTCGCAGCCCCCCCAGCAGCAGCGAGCGAGGAGGGACTCTATACACATCTACACCCGTCTCTGGCGCTATCGAGCTTCTCGAATATCCTGAAAAGCCTCCCAGAGATCCTCGAGAGCAGCATCACCACGAAAAGCGTGAAGCGAAACGCCTCTGGCTCGAGGCTCAAGATGAGATGAAGTTCTCCCACAGCATCCAATTCAATGCTGTCCCGGACTGGAGCAGCCACTATATTGCCTACAGCAATCTCAAGAAGCTGTAAATCTCGCTTGATCTTTTGGCTCTTCATTGTTCTTGACACTGACCGATTCTCATAGCATATACAACCTCGAGAAGAATGCTGCCCAGGCACGCTCCGGTGACCACGAATCACGACCCCTCATCTCCACCGACGAACCTGAAGACGTGTTCTCCAAGGCTCTTGGCATAGAACTAGAGAAGATCTGCTCATTCTATGTCGCCAAGGAGGGTGAACTTCATGACGATGTCTCCCAACTATTACGCGACGTCGCCGATCAGCCAGCGCTAGAATCATCCACAACCTTCCGTCGCAGATCCAATGACACAAACCGCCCCGATCGCAGCGGCCACCATGGCCGCACCGCGAGCGTCACCGACCAAACATCTGACGATGATGCTGGCGACGACACGGGCAGCGAAGAGGAGGATGAAAGCGCTGCACTTACCCATGCCAAAGGCCAAGGCCGTCGCAGCACAGCACCCAACTTTGCACCGCCCCCTTTGAAGTCTGGTCCATCCTCCGATCTCGGTCGCGCTCCATCTACACGCCGACACAGCACCACGTTTGACGACTACGGCGAGGTGAGCACCGTCTTCGCCTCGGCGCTCTTCCCGTCGGCCATCATGCTCAAGAAGCGCATCATTGGTCTCTATGTCTCTCTCTGCGAGCTCAAGTCGTACGTGCAACTCAACCGCACCGGTTTCGGCAAAGTACTCAAGAAGTTCGACAAAATCATGGATAAGGAGCTCCGCAATGTATACATCAAAACACACGTGGACACGGCGTATCCTTTCAAGGAGGATACCAAGAAGCATGTTGAAGACTACATTGCAGAGATGGAATCGGCATACTCCACCATTGTCACCGGCGGCGACGATGTTTTGGCCAAGAAGGAGCTACGCTCACATCTTCGCGAACATGTCGTTTGGGAGCGCAACACTGTCTGGCGTGACCTCATTGGTATTGAGCGCAGAGGAGAGGCTGCTCGACTCGGCTCGCTGCTTCTCGGGCCAGACTCAACCCAATCTAAGCGACTACAGGGAGATGACGACAAGACCATGCCAATGACCACCATTGCCACACCCTTCGGTCGACTTAGGCTACCTGTTTGGATGGCCAATTATTCTATGCTCACGCTCGTGCTCTCCACTGCAGCATTCTTTGCATTACTCTTCGTTCCCATCCTGAAGCACCCTGAGCAGCAAAACTGCCTCGCCATGTTGGTCTACGTGAGCCTCCTGTGGGCAACGGAGACACTTCCCCTCTTTGCTACTGCGCTTTTGATCCCCTTCCTCTCCGTCATACTCCGGGTCGTTCGTGATGAGCAGGGCGACCACCACCGTCGCTTCAACGCAAAGGATGCTACGGCGGCCATCTTTGCTTCCATGTGGAGCCCAGTAATCATGCTCCTGCTCGGCGGCTTCACTGTTGCTGCCGCCCTTTCCAAATGCACTATTGATAAGAAGCTAGCCACACTGGTTCTCAGCAAGGCTGGCACCAACCCCCGCGTCGTGTTGATTGCCAACATGCTTGTTGCGGCATTTGCATCGATGCTTATCAGCAATGTCGCCGCCCCTGTACTCTGTTATTCACTCATCGACCCCATGCTTCGCACTCTACCCTCTGATTCGCCCATGTCAAAGGCCGTCATCATGGGCATCGCGTTGGCGTCCAATATTGGCGGCATGTTGTCACCCATTGCGTCACCGCAAAACGTTGTTGCCATGGGTATCATGCAACCAGCACCGACTTGGCTTCAGTGGTTCTTCATCGTTATTCCCGTCGGCACGGTCTCGATTGTTGCCATTTGGATGCTGCTCCTGGTCACTTTCCAAACCAGCCAAGGAACATCTATCCAGCCTGTACGGCCACTTAAAGAGAAGTTCACCGCTTTGCAGTGGTTTGTAACCGTTGTAACGCTCATAACCATTGCTCTTTGGTGCGCAAGCCATCAGATGGAGGACGTCTTTGGAGACATGGGGGTCATCGCTATCATCCCGATTGTAACCTTCTTTGGCATGGGTATTCTCACCAAGGAGGACTTCAACAACTTTCCTTGGACTATCATCATCCTCGCCGCCGGCGGCCTGTCCCTAGGAAAAGCCGTCCGCTCCTCTGGTCTCCTCCACACACTAGCCGAAGTTGTGTCCAACGAGGTTCAAGGCATGGGTGCTTATGGCGTGCTCGTCGTCTTTTCGTCGCTGATTCTAGTTATTGCGACATTCATCAGCCATACAGTTGCAGCACTGATCTTCCTCCCACTCGTCTATGATGTCGGTGCCGCCATGAATCAACCTCATCCCAACCTATTAGTCATGGGCGGCGTGCTCATGTGTAGTGCTGCCATGGGTCTGCCAACCAGTGGCTTCCCTAATATGAGTAAGTTCTTCCTACTACTCAGAGCAAGACCGAGCGTAAATTTTTAACCCATTTGTTTTACAGCCGCTATAATGAAGGAGGATGCTACGGGTCAACGTTACCTCCAAGTCAAGCACTTCATTACCCGGGGTATTCCCAGCAGCATTCTCACACTTGTTGTTGTGGTGACATTGGGATACGGCATCATGCAAGTTGCTGGTCTAGACTGAGCTTGGTCATCTTCCCTACAGTTGCTGGGCGTGTAACTTTCGGTTGGTTGGCCCTCGCGACGATAATAGTTCCGTTTCATCACGCATTTCAATATTTGATGTACTTCGGATAGAACAAATGAAACGTACCCCGGTTTGGGTGCTATCACTGTGAAGGCAAAAGCCTCTATCGAGTGGCAGGCAGTGTCAGTCTGCTATGACTTGAGAATTCTTTTACCAACTGCGCAAATCTACTGTGCGGCGGCGCCGGGCATATTGGCACTTGCAGGTTCAGGGGCTGGTGAGAAAGAACTTTTGAGAAAGAAATTGTCAGAAGATCGGCATGGCCACAACCCACGGTCTGGTTCCGCTTTCAGTGAGATGAAGAATATATTCTGCCTCCTAGTGGCACTTCCAAGAAGGGTGCATCTGAATGTCTGCGACGCCAGCGAGCTGGATTCGCCAGTCGGCTTCACGGCAAACGGATGAGCGGCGAGGCCGAAGCCATCAGCAGTGATGCATGAATTGGGTAGAGGGAGGGGGGTTGAGCTTTCATTTCCTCGTGATATCCTTTCTGTGGTGTCGGAATAACGTATCTGATGTCGCGAGATTATACTGTTGTCGCTAGTGCAGCTGTTTCCCATCACTCCATCAAACCAACCCCTCGTGCTTCACATGCTCAGTCGGCGGTTGTAGCTCACAATTTGGCATACGAACCGCCTTGTCACGGTGATACCATTAGATATAGGTCCAGCTAGCATGATATTCTCACAGGGTCAAATCCCCATAGCAGCACTCGGTGCCACTGGCAGCCTTCTCTCGACCGTCACACACACAACGCCATTCGATTGGCCGTCGCCCGCAACAAGATTCGAACAAGCATGAAGACAGCCTTTCTATCCGTGAAACTCCACTGTGAGTTGATGGTTCGAAGGTGAGACTTGACTGGCTTCTATATTTGTTTGTTGCTGACCAGTGACGTCGCTACTGGCTCTCGTCGTTTAGTAGCCCTTGCGGTTCTTGGCAGAGAAATCATTCGTTTGACATCATGCGAGGCAAAGACTCTTAGATAAAATCCTACTAGCTACTACGCTTGGTCGCGATTGCAAAGCACACCGTACCGATTTGGAGTATGGTAAGCAAAGGGACGCGAGATTTTAGCACGGAACTCCGTGGGCGAGTTGCCAGATTTGTCAGTATAGTATGGCATTTCCTGACGACTTGTATGGGAGATTCCGGTGCTTGTTGGCTGATCGTCACCACGGCGGCTTAGTCTCGGTCATGGAAGCTCTTATCCGTCTCTGTGCCGAATCATGCTGCCAGCTTACATCGTCAACAAAGCTCGCCTCAAACGGGTAGCTCGAAAGAACTTTGCTGTTTGGTGTAGCAGAAGGAGGTATCATTGCGGACGGGAAGTTTATTGCAGACCCGGTCACTGATGCCCATTAGGCTTCTCCGCGGAAGAAAATCGGGATCGATTTCTATGCCTTTTGGAATTAGTTGAACCGATCGCCACCTAGGTTTGATTTAATTTAATTTGATTATTTACGTCTGTCGGCGCCCTAGTGTAGGCTTTTAAACGTGCTATCGAGCCTTCTACGGATAAACGTGTAGGCGTACCCACTTAGTAGGCCCCCATAGGGTAGCGCGCGCCTATATTCTCACTAGTTGCCCCTAGAATACTCTCCCTACTATTATCCTCTAACTATAGTAGTATTACGCCTAATAGTATATATTTATTTAAATTAATACCTATTAGTAGGATTATAATAATACTAGTATAATACACTTATAGTAATAATTATAATTATATTATACTAATAACTTTTATCTTTTAGTCTTTATATAAAGACTAGTAGGAGCCCTACTATTAGTAGTATATATTATTTAAAATAAAAGAAATAAAAGAAATATTTAATAAATAATATAAACTATTTAAACTAAATACTATATAGAGTATATTAGACTTATATATTCTATATAATATTATATATACTTATTAATCTTTAAATAGTAGAAGTTAATAATATTTATATATACTTTATAGAATCTATTAAGAAATTTCTTTATTATTATCTTTAGGTTAGAGTTTAATTAAACTTAAAGATAACTAAAGATCTTTTTATAATAAAAAAGATAAATAAGTGATTTTTAGTGCCTATAAGGGCACTCTAGTGTTACTTATTTAAGATAGAATCTTTTATAGTATTCTATAAAGTTACTATATTATAATTATACTATTAAAAAATAGTTAAGTAGATAGTAAAGAAAACTAAGTTCTAAAAGTTACTTTAGTCTAACTTTTAGACTAAGCTTTAAATACTCTATTCTTTTAATTAATACTTACTAGACTTAGTGATTAATCTATATTTATATTTTTTTTTATATAAAATAGATAGTAGATACTTATTTATAAAGAGTATAGTACTATACTTTATAAGTTAGTCTACTAGTTTATTACTAAAGATACTAGTATAACTAAAGGACTATTTAATTAAGATTAAATATAAGTACTTATTCTTAATCTTTAGAATTTTTAAAAATAGACTTATAAAGAGTCTACTACTATTATTCTAATATAGTTAATTATAAATATATTATTTATATAGATAATAATTAGTTTATAGAGACTATTCTACTATGTAACTACTTTAAGTCCTATAAGTATACTATATATCTTAGTATTAAATACTTCTTATTATCCTAACTATTTAGAACCTTAGTTTAGAAGTTATTTAATATAGAAAATAGTAAAACTATATTCTACTATATTAGTATTTATTTTAGAGTTATTACTAAAGACTATATAGTTTATAGATTAGTTAGTAAACTAATATTTAAACTCTATTATAGTATTCTCTTTAGTTTATCTTTCTATAGCCCTTTTTACTTATATATTATTAAAAAACCTCTATAGAATAAGTCTTAGTCTTTTAATTTTAATAGTATAATATATAGTCTAAAGGAGTCTTAAGTACTAAAGGACTATTTATTCTATAATAAGTAGTTTTTTATTAAGTTTAATTTCTTTTTATAATTATTATAACTTTTTACTAATTAAATATACTTTATTTAATATTATATATTAGACTACTATTTATTCTTAAATATACTAAAGTAGGATACTTACTAATAAGATACTTACTTCTTTCTAAAGAAACTCTAATAGTATTATCTTCTATATAAGTAGAACTATTCTATATATAAGATTAAATATATATTAAATCTTATTTAAGTTTATTTTTAAAATATAACTTCTTTTTAAGTATAAGTTACTTATATTTAAACTAAATAGTTAAGTATTTAGTCTATAGAATAAGATTAGTATAACTATAGTTTATACTACTTAATAGACTATTATTACTATTATACTTTATATAGTATTATTTATAATCTAAAAGTAATTAATTACTTTATAGACTTTTTATATTTATTTATTAATATAATAGTTAAAAGTAAATTTCTTATTAAGCTAAATACTAAGTTTACTATATAGATATTAATACTTATATTTTTTTATTACTATAGTAAATAATAGGAGATTAACTATAGTCTACTATATATTTAAAGAAGTATATAATTTTTATTTTATTTAGGTTAAAGTGGATTATCTTACTTCTTCTTTATAATTCTATAATTATAATTACTTTATTTACTTACTTTATTATATTCTTTAGTAAGTCTCTTATAAAGAGTATTACTATATTATTTATATATTTATACTTTTAAACTATACTAAAGAGGAAATAAATTACTATTATAATTAAAATATAGAGTATTAATAAGATAGATAAGCCTTATAAAAGATTATATTATAGTCTTATACTTAGTATAGTTATATCTTAAAAGTAAACACTAGTTAGTCTATCTAATAAGAAGTTTATTATCTATTAAACTAAGAAATCTAACTACTTTTATTATTATAAGTAAAGGATTATATAATTATAAAAGATTATATTAAAAGCTCTTATAATATCTTTTATAATAAGAGTTATTATTTTATTAATTATAAGTACTTTCTCTATATTATAGATAAAGGATACTATAATATTTATAGTAGACTACTTTAATAGTACTCTTATTTAGTTAGGATAGAGGATACTATATTTAATAATAGTATAAACTATTCTTCTTATAATAACCTATTCTAATCTTTTACTAAAGTAGAATAAGAGTAATATAGACTACTATATAGATATATTACTAAGGTTTTACTTATTAGGCTTTAAGATTATAATAACTTTAATAGTCTTAAAGATATTAAGGTAATAATTAAGTTATAAGTAAGTATTATATAGTATTATAAGTAGTTAAGTAATATATAGTTAGACTACTTATAATATCTTAATTATAATATATTTAAACTAGGGGTTATATTTTTAGTATATAGGATAGCTTTTTTAATCTCTTTAATTAAGATTATTTTTATAAAAAGGATCTCTTTAATAAAACTAACTATTAGCTCTTATATATTAAGGATATTATCTAATATATTATAGTATTCTAACTTCTCTTTATATAGTATTATAGCTTTCTCTATATTAATAAAGTAGATTATATTATTTACTTAGATTAATAAGGGTTATAGTTATTATTTTAGTTTTATTTATTTAGTAAGTTTATATATATTTTTTACTATAGTTACTTTATTTATAGTATTATACTAGAAGTTTTACTATATATATTAGAGAATATAGTAGAACCTTACTTTAGTCTATTATACTTTCTCTCCTTTTTAGTTCTTATAGATATATTATATAACCTATAGGTTATTATATATACCTTTATACTTTTAGTTTTACTATAGATAGTTTTAAGTATAATAACTATAGATTACTCTCCTATATACTATAGTAGAGCTTTAGAGGATCTCTTAGAGCTACTTAACTATATTCTTAATTTAAGTATATAAGTCTATATTAGTAGATAGTAACTTTACTACTTTACTTATATAATCTCTAAAGACTTTAATCTTATTTAGTATAGTCACTTTAACTTTTCTTAGTATAGCCTAAGTCTAT